GATGCTCCCGTTTCAGACTCGGAGTTTGCTGGGACGCTTGTCGTGGGAGGGGGCTCAGAGGGAGAGAGAGCTTGCGCGGATTGCGGAAAGGCGCGCGGAATGGAAGAGATCACACGGCCGTGTGAGAGGGGCCGTGCGCTTTGGTAGCCAGAGTGAGTCTCGAGGCTAGGGTCTTGTGAAATACGGTCGGAGGAGCATTCTTGAGACGATATTGCTGTCGCCTTGGGAAGCGGAGGATGCGAGGGCGGGAGGAAAGGTTGTGATCTCTGTTGTGGGTTGCGCAACGGTGTCTCTACTTTTGACTGTGAACTCTTCATCTGTTGGGCCTGCTGGAGCCATATCTCTCTGGTTTTGGGGTCGACAGGGCAAGCTGAGGCGGAATCTGCAGGGAGCTGCTGTGGGAGGTGGTGACTGGATTGATCTTGGGTAATGGCTGAGGAGGATACTGCGGGTGGCGCATGAGGCTCCGGGGCGGGATCTGCTTTCCACCAGCCCATTGGAATATCTGCCTCTGAATGTTTATGTCGGAATATGTATATAGATGGCCGTAAGCGCAGAGGATTTAATCTGTTGCGATGAGCGGAGGGTTACAATGTGAAGGAAGCTCGTCGCCTCTGGAGAAATTTGTGTAGTATGCGGGGAGCGCAGCCTGGTACATGCTCGTAATCAGATGCTTGTAATTGATGTGGCTGCTGAAAAGGCACAAGGCCAGCCTTGTCCCGATTCAGGGCGACCTTATTTACCTCTAGCGTCACACTACATACTAATTTTCCCGCCGTTTGATCGAGTTTGTCCTTTGCACAATTCCATCTGGCTCTAAACCCCTGTACAGACACAATCATGCCTAGCTCAAATACCGTCTATCGGGCAAGTACCACTGCTCCAGTCAACATTGCTGTGATCAAGTAGGTACGCCAATTAATCCCTCAGCTCTCCTCCCATCGAACATGGTAATCCCCATTGAAGGTCAAAGACTGATTGACTTGGAACTACAGATACTGGGGAAAGCGTGATACGGTCCTGAATCTCCCGACGAATTCGTCCCTGTCGGTGACATTATCTCAGAAGTCACTACGAACCCACACCACCGCATCATGTTCCGAATCCTTCTCGGGGCCAGACACTCTGATACTCAATGGGGAGAAGGAGGATATTCAGTCTTCGAAGAGAACGCAAGCGTGCCTGAGAGACCTTCGTTCGCTACGTGAGGCATTGGAAGCCAAGGACGGTTCTCTACCCAAGCTGTCAAAATGGACCTTGCGACTGGTGTCGACAAACAATTTCCCTACCGCGGCCGGTCTTGCTTCTTCGGCTGCTGGGTTCGCGGCTCTCGTAAGAGCAATCGCTGACCTCTACGAGTTACCTCAATCGCCGAAAGAGCTCTCGTTGATTGCTCGGCAAGGCTCTGGATCAGCTTGCAGGAGTCTGATGGGCGGCTATGTGGCATGGCGAGCTGGTACGAAGGCGGATGGAAGTGACAGCTTGGCTGAAGAGGTGGCACCAGTATCACATTGGCCGGAAATGCGGGCACTGATACTTGTCGTCAGTGCTGAGAAGAAGGGTATCGCCTCAACTGCAGGTATGCAGACCACGGTCGAGACATCCACTCTAGCACCCACGAGATTCAAGGAGATTGTCCCCAAAAGGATGCAGGAAATAGAGAAGGCAATCGCGGAGAAAGATTTCGAGACGTTTGCACGGATTACGATGCAGGATTCGAATTCGTTTCACGCCATCTGTTTGGATTCATGGCCCCCAATCCACTACCTGAATGATGTTTCCCGCGCAGCGATGAATGCCGTGGAGACGGCAAATCGGAAAGCAGGGAAGCTCATCTGCGCATACACATTCGACGCAGGGCCGAATGCAGTGATTTACTACCTGGAAGAACATACACACCAAGTTGCAGGAGTGTTTAGAAACATTTTACCCCGTATCCCAGGTTGGGAGGGCGGGTTCGGGGAGTCTATTCGACCGAACGAATATGGAGGGTTGGAACAGAAGACGCTGATGACGCTGAAGGCGGGTGTCAGTCGGGTCATTTGCACAGCGGTGGGAGGAGGGCCAGAGAGTGTGGAGAACCATCTGGTCGACGAAGGCGGGAATGCTCTGGTGGAATGATTGAAAGTCAGGTGTGAAGAAGGAAGCATTCGCATACAACGACGAATGAAATTTCGACTGGCACTGCAAGGCAAGAATTTTTTTTCCTCGTATCTGCATATTGGCATGCAGTGAGCCTTCTCTATCGATGATACCTCGGTGTTTCTTCACTTGGAGCATCCGAGCATTCATGAATACGAGATACGGGTGAGTCGTCGTAAGAGGGGGAAAGGATCACATATTGTGGGGGTGGGACAGGCCCGCAGGGTGCAAATCGGCATAGGCATCTAGTGACACCCAGACAAGAAATACGGCCGCCGGGAGTGGGTAGCGAGTGGCATGTGAGTGGCATGTGCACCACCATGTGGTCAGATATTATTAAGGCTCCCAGGGCTCCTCGGCGCCTAGGGGAGTCCCCCACAACCTACTCCGTACAACCACTTCGCCTCCCTTTTACTGGTGGGCTAGGTATGGGTATTCATTCGTAAGTAAGCACTCTATTCGGCGCACTCTTGCCAGTTTTGTCGGCGGATTACCTACAATGTGGTAGACGCTGGGCCAAATCTTGAATCCATCTTGTCGTGCCCAGATTGCCTCTGTATCATAGCAATGATCTGCCCCTAATTGTTTTGCTAGGCCCGATGGCCTAGACTCTACTCGTATGCTTTGCCGAGGTTCGCCGTTCCATTCCCAGTCTTGCTGGGGAGACTCTAGCCGTTTTGTTCACGCAGCTCACCGACCAGGCATGTCCTCCGGCGCATATATTGCCATAACTCGCCTCCTATTGCCTTCTCTCCATCGCTACCTAGTCAACGCCCCGTACAACAATTCATCATGATTGCGGCCAACAACACTTTCGACGTCATCATTATTGGCGCCGGCATCAGCGGCATCAACTCTGCATACCGTCTTCAAGAAGGTCTCCCTGACTTCTCGTACGCCATCCTCGAAGCACGGGCCGAGATCGGTGGCACCTGGAGTTTGTTCAAATACCCTGGCATCAGATCTGATTCTGATCTACACACCTTTGGGTTCCCCTGGGATCCATGGAAGGAAGACCGTTCCATCGCTGATGCTGCTTCGATTCTGCGATATGTCAAGACTACTGCCGCCAAACATGGCATCGACAAAAACATCAAATACCACCACAAGGTCGAGTCGATGAATTGGTCAACTGAGAACCAACATTGGGAAGTTGAAGTCACCGTCGATGGCACCGAGAAGCGAAAGTACTACTCTCGATTCATCCTCCTGGGTACCGGCTACTATGACTATACTCAAGGGCTCAGCACCAAGATTCCTGGCATTGAGAACTTCAAGGGCACCGTTGTCCATCCTCAATTCTGGCCCGAGGAGCTCGACTATACAGACAAGAGAGTCGTCATTATCGGCAGTGGTGCCACCGCCGTCACCCTCTTGCCTGCCATGACCGAAAAGGCCAAGTCGGTGACGATGCTTCAACGATCGCCCAGCTATTTCCTGCCCGTCCCCCTGAGCGAGCCCATTGATGCTCTTATCAAGCGGGTATTCCCTGAAAAGTTCGCGTATCAACTCATCCGACTCAGATTCCTCCTCGTCGGCTTCTTGTTTTTTCAATTTTGTCGACTCTTCCCCAACAAGGGCCGATCCATCCTGCGTGATGCCACCCAAAAGGAGCTACCTGCCAATATTCCTTTCGACCCTCATTTTGTTCCTCGCTACAATCCCTGGGAGCAGAGAATGTGTATTACTCCTGGTGAGTTTCTACTAACCCGTCGAAAACCGTCCGCTGGGCAAATCGCTGATTTCTTCAAGGTGGCGATTTCTTCGCAGCGCTTCGCACTGGCAAAGCCGATGTCGTGACCGACACGATCGAAGACATGAGCGCCGGCGAGATCAAGCTCAAGTCAGGAGCGACTCTCCCTGCGGACATCATCGTCACCGCCACGGGTCTCAAAATCCAGTTCGGTGGTGGTGCTAATGTTACGGTCGATGGTGAGCCCTACCAGATGAACCAAAAGTTCATCTGGCGTGGTGCTTTGCTACAGGATCTACCAAACTTCACCTTCATCTTCGGCTACACGAATGCTAGCTGGACCCTGGGCGCCGATGCCACGGCACAGCTGTGGGTTCGTCTCCTCAAAGAGATGAAGGAAAAGAATATGACAAGTATGGTTCCGCGGATTGATGAAAAGGATCATATCAGTGAAGTGCCTCTCTTGAACCTGAACAGTAGCTACATCAAGGCAGCCCAAGAGGCCAATACATTGCCCAAAGGTGGCAATCGAGGACCGTGGGTGCCTAGGAGCTCGTACCTGCGAGACATCTGGCACGCGAAGTTTGGCGACATCCGGACGGGGTTGCAGTTTAACAGGATTTCAACCTAGACGAAAGATGGTCGTGAGGTGTCTTGTGGTTTCAAAAAGAAAGGGTGTTAACACGTTTGGTTTGGGTGTTGACCGTGGCGTTAGCTTCCTATTACTAGTAGTTGAAGAGCACGAAGAGGACTCTTATGAATTGAGACCCCTTGGATGGCCCAGCACACCTGGTGGCTGGCGTTCCAACATGCCTGGGTTTGCCATGCACGTGCCCTTTGTCATGTTATCGTAGGTGGGCCGGGTGTAAGATTTTCCTGCGCCGAAGCCCGCTGTTGCCGCCGGTTTGTTGGCCTATAATCTTCTCATGCTGTCCACCTTTTTCTTTTCGCCCGCAAACAAAATATTTCTGACCGCCCATTTTCTTTCTTCCACGTTCTCGGCCTGGCTCTTTCTCTCCCCCCGTCCTCTACTCTACTGTTTTCTCCTCCGGACCTAACGCAAAGTCAAGAGACGCTTTGACACCGCTCCACACTCCGGCCTAACCGACCGCGCAATACATATCGCTTCACGTCCACGTCCGACAAATAAAACCCTTCTCTCACGATGGGTAACGGAGCCAAGGCTGCCCAAAAAAGGGAGCGCAATACGAAAGATGCGAAGAAGGAACCAAACAGCCAGTTGAAGAAGGTATGTCTCGATTTGCTCGATTACTCAGTTCATGATCAGTGGTTCCTTGCTCTTGATTTCCACGTTTCGCCTCTTCAAACGTTGCCCACGCCAAAATTCGACAGGAGACTGTGGCTGTGACTTTGTGATGATGTGAGGAATGTCGATAAAGTCGGATTTGCTGGTGGTTGTGAGGAGGCCAAGTTCACTGTACGGCGGAACACCTCCTTTCGTGGGGTTTTGATCGGCTCCTCCGCTGTGTCGTTGTGACGGTATACTGGTGGGAAAGAATGTGAACTTGTGTTCTAGGGGAGTCTGATCTTGGCAGCCCTGCGGAATCCGGTCTCTCTGTCTCGATCTCTCGCCATAATACAGGGCCTTCCTGCAACGCTTTGCTGAAAGTCGTTCTTGGTTGTTGAAGACCATGTACACGAACCCTTCCTAATTATGATGCCCACATGCCATCCGCCTGTTATCCATATTGTACTAATCCGTGTTCTTACCCATCTGATTCAATCTGACTTGGCTTGCTGATGATACTGACAACAATACAGAATGCAGCGGCGCAAACCATCAAATGCAAAATTTGCTTTGCCACATTCCAGAGCACTTCGGCACGCAAAGGCCTGGAAGATCACGCCTCGAACAAACACAGCAAGAAATATGAAGAGTGTTTCTAGCCGACAGCATCAAATCAAATAGAGACTCACTGTGAGACATCGGTAATGGCAAGGCAGTGAATGGGACGCGCTCCGAGAAATGACACAAGTGGCTGGTGGATATTGAAATCGCCGTTGGAAACGAGCACGAATCGAAACGGGATGAAATGCTACGTGGCTTCTCTGCGATGCAACCAGACAAGAGCTGAGGAGAAAGGCTGACGCTGCGTTTGTTAGCGAGGGAGTTAGGGGTCGGGTTTGTGTTTACATCTATTCGGCGTCACCGGTTCCGAACCGACTATAGGGAGAAGCACAAACGAATATCGTCGTGGCCTTGTTTACGTGTCTTGGACTTTTCCTTATCTCGTTAGGGGCTCATCTGTTGTTGCAAGCTCCCAGATATCGCTTTGGCACCAAACCATTTGCAACAGCGTTCTTTCAGGGGATAGATACTCGACAACTAGTGGCTGCGCACCGCCCAAAGCACTTCGAAGCCGGGCTGAGGATGGATCTTTTCAATCGGCCATTGCGCTGAGAAGGAAGACAATAACACCTTTTTTTGTGGCTGCCCCAATCTCGACATTGCAACACAACTGACATCCGGAAACCAACGAAGTATCAGCAATGCTGTTCTGTTATCTTTCTATCAACACGCGTTACGTTCTGCACAATGCCGTGGTCAGCTTCCCCTGACAGATGGAGACTTTTGAAAGCGCTGTTCCTCGCAACACACACCTATGTACAGGTAGGTACACGCATATATCGTATATTATTGTTCGATATACGCTGGACCTCTCAAGTAAATTCCTCGGAGGATCAATGTTCCTAGGTATGTTTAGGCCCCAACTATTGAACACGAACCGAAGTATCACAGGCACAAGGACAAGACAGCCAGCATGTGCTTGTGCATGTGACAATTTTTGATATATTTTCCCTGTGGCACCTCCCCTCCAATGGTTAGTTCCCATTGAGTTCTTACTTTGGCTTGCGGCGGAGTTGAGCGTGCGTCCGTGACATTTGTTGGTGGTCTCGGGTTTTATACGCTCTCTATTATGCAACGACCGCTGCATTCCCAAAGGCTAGTGGTACGTCCATATCTCGATACGCCCTGTGACTCGCTCACTCACTCACCCGGATCGATACCTCTCTACCTACATACCTAGGTGTCTACATGAAATGTATCTATTTGTATGGCTCTGCTTTGACTTACTTGACTTGACCTGGACAAGGTTGGGGTTGGATTTATATGACTATCCGACTATCAACTAAACGAGGCGGTCTCGTACAAAGAGTACTTCGTGGAGATATATAACTCTATAACTCAAAGTGGTTTTCGCATTTGATCTCCTTGCGTTTCTTGCTGTCCGTCTACATATTGTACATAGCTAACAGAGTGAAAACTGCAAACTCCCGGACGCGGGTCAAACAGTCAGGCACCACGCATTGGTGACGCTGGTAACAGGCTCTGCAGCGTTCGCTTGTTGGAAGGAAGGCAAGTAACAGATTCAGAGCAAGCAGCGATTGCGATGAGCGGGAATCACCTGGACGAGAACAATGGTGTACTGGCGTCAGGGCCAGGACCAACCTCAAGCCTCAGGGAAGAAGGAGAGTCGGCAGCGCCACCAGCACTGCTTCATCGCTCGTTACAGGCACGACCCTATCAAGTCACCAAGGCCGAGGGGCTGTATCTGACCCTGTCCGATGGGCGGACCATCATAGACGCCTGCGGCGGCGCCGCGGTAGCGTGCCTGGGCCACGGCAACAAGGAAGTCCAACAAGCGGTCGCCCGCCAGATGAGCACGGGCGTCAGCTACATCCACTCGCTGACCTACACGACCGACGCGGCCGAGGACCTGGCGCACCACCTCATCAACGGGCCCCAGGGCGCGGGCCGCTTCGGGCTCGAGCGCGTGTACCTGGTCAACTCGGGGAGCGAGGCCATGGACGCGGCGCTGAAGCTGGCGAGGCAGTACTTTTTCGAGCTGGCCCAGAAGAGCCCGACGTCGCCGACAACCCCGACGCCGGTCAGATCACACTTTGTGAGCAGGAAGCAGAGCTACCACGGCACCACGGTCGGGGCCATGAACGTGAGCAGCAACCTGCCCCGCAAGGTCCCGTACGCGTGTTTCCAGCTGGACAACTTCAGCTGGGTCACGCCCGCGTACACGTACCAGTACTCGGACTGGCAACGGGGGGAGACCGAGACGGCGTTCGCACAGAGGCTGGTGGACGAGCTGGACGCGCATTTTGTCGCGATCGGGCCGGAGAAAGTCGTCGCCTTCGTCGCTGAGCCGCTCGTCGGCGCCACCAGCGGATGCACGCCCGCGCCCAGAGGCTACTTCAAGGGTGTCAGGCGCGTCTGCGACAAGTACGGCATCCTCCTGATCCTGGACGAGGTCATGAGCGGCATGGGCCGTACGGGGACCTTGTTCGCCTTTGAGCAGGAGGACGTGGTGCCGGACCTGGTCACCGTGGGCAAGGGGCTCGGCGGCGGCTACGCCCCCGTCGCGGGCGTCCTCATCCACAAGAAGGTCGTCGACGTCCTCCGCGCCGGCTCCAGCAGCTTCAACCACGGCCACACCTACCAGGCCCACCCGGTCGGCTGTGCCGCCGCGCTGGCCGTGCAGAAGATCCTGCGTCGCGACGGACTCGTCGAGAATGTCGCCCGCCTGCACGGGTTCCTGTACCCGCTCCTCGTCGACACGTTCGCCCCGGCAAAGTACGTCGGCGACATCCGCGGCCGCGGCCTGTTCTGGGGCATCGAGTTCGTCCGCGACAAGAGCACGCGCGAGTCCTTCCCGCCTCGGCTCTCCTTCGGCGCCCGCTTCCAGTCCGCCGTCTTTGACCTGGGCGTCGCCGTGTATCCGGGCTCGAGCACCGTCGACGGCAAGAAGGGCGACCATGCCATCCTCAGCCCGCCGTACAACGTGACGGAGGACGAGTTGCGGAAGATCGTCGCGGTCATGAAGACGGCGTATGACCGGCTGGAGAAGGAAGTGGATGCTGAGTCCTGGGTTGAGGACGACAAGGCTGCGAATGGATATGCAAAGGCATATTGAACTTCGAAGACAAACAAACAAAACTCGAGCGGGGTTTTCAACGATTAGAAGTTTGTCTTTCGAAGTATTACTATTACCCTGCGCTGCTGGCATTCACCACAAGGTCCGTCATCTCACTCATTCTTCCGAGCTCGAAAGGAGAAACTCCTCGATAATGTCAGACCGTGCGATTTCACACAAATCCCAGCCCCATTTTCTTGTCTTTAGTGCATCATTCTCCTGAAAATGCAAGTCATCGTAAAACTCATAGAACCCACCCTCTTGCAGGAATGCTACCTGATAAAACTCCAAAAGGTCGGACCGTTGATCCCTTGAAACCAATTCTTCGTAATGCATGCCATAGAATGATAAACCCCCCTCATTCGAGCGCCCTAAAACCCCAAAGAATTTTCGCATCCTCTATCGCACTGTTACTTCCGCATTACCCCTGCTCTGTGGCCGCTGAATATCTCCGAGCTCATTACCGGTCCCGCTTTGACCCCGTTTCCGTCCCGGGAGGAAATGGAAGTGGTGTTTGCCTTCCTCCTTGTTGGTCCCATTCGTGGTAATGGTTTCACCGTTTGAGTCGCCAAACCGGGACAGGAAACTCTTCTTCTTGGGCTCTTGTGGCTTGCTCGCTTCCTCATTCAATTTTACTTCCTCAAAGATCGGAGCCTCTGCGGTGGAGGGTCTCTCAAATGTAGTGCTGCTTAGTGTCGAGCGCGTGGGGAAGCGTGTCGCCGGTCGCGAATCTAGAGACGTGCGCGAAGTGAAGCTGTCGGCTTGAAGAATTGGGGAGCGGCCAGAAATATCCTGCGAAATCAGTCAGGCTGCTGTCAAGTTTATGTCAGGGTTGTAACCTACAAAAGATCTTCGGTATGACTCGAAAGATTCGCGAGAGATTGTGAACGCCTCGTTATCGTTGAAACACTGGCGATGGTTGGTGTTTGCAGAGGTCGGCGATTTGGCCCAAAAGGATGGTTTCTCAGTGGGCGAAGGCTGTTGCACAGTCAGCTCCTGTATTGTGATTTAACTCATTAGCATCTCATACCGGGAGATATTCACCGCTGTCGTTAACGGCTGTTCGTCGTTAGTTTCGGCACAACGTTTAATCTGGTGGGGGATGGGAAACGTCGCATACAACTCAATTTGAACTCGTTGGGCTCGACCGTCTTTTCCTTGATTCCCAGTGCTAATGATGGCTTGTCTCTGCTGTAAGGACTCTTGACATTGCCGTCAAAGGAATTGGGACGAATGTTCTCGTCATTGGTCTCAATGGGCGCAGTCGGGCGCTTCGAGGTGAAGGGCATGCGGAAGGGAGGCATGTTGAAGGACCAGGATTGTGTATGTGTCGTGAAAAGTCTACTGGAAAAAAAAAAGAATCGGTACGTGAGGGGATGGAATGCTTTATGTTATCACAGAGAAAATGTCGGGAGACAAGATGTATGAGAGGAAGAGGTGCGTACAAAAGAGATCATTGTCACGAGTGCCGATAGTATTGTTGTGGGTTGTGCCGCGGGCAGTGTTTAAAGAAATGCTGACCCCAAGAGCCAACAACCGGGTCCGAAGACGGGCAACAAAACAGTAAGGGTAACACCACGGCCAGCACCTGGGCAGTACGGAAAGGTGCCGGAAAGCCGGGAAGGGTTTCTTGCCTTCCATGGGCCCTGAAGGCATCTAGTAGGGTCCTGTAGGCAAAGTTACGCCACTGTAGCTGGGCATTGCTCAAGTGTCATTGGGCATCGTTTGGCGCCGATCATTAACCGGAGTAAGGGCCCCCCTCCCTGCGTAGGCCCTCAATCCAATGGGCATCCCCCGCACCCAATGGGCGATGCACCTGGCAGCTTTGTCAACTCCAGTCATCCACCCTGCATAGGCTTGTCGCATCGCACACCATAGATAGCATCTCAGCTTGTGTTTCGCCCATCACGTCCTTGAAGCAGTATTGGGTCTTATGCTTTGCATGCAGGTACAATAGAGGGCGCGAAAATTTTCTCATCAATGACAATGGATTTCTTTCTTACTGAAATCGAACTGGGTCAAGCCAAGCATAACTTTGATGATTCATCTCAGCAACTGTTTACCATTTAGGTACCACCCAGAGCACCCGGCATCAACGTCTACGTACAACGATGTCGATGAAGGGATCCTCCTCCACACTTTGCCATTCCTCAGCGAATCGTATGACGTCGATGAACAAGTCTCTGCCTTGAAAACTTGGAGAAATGCCCAAGTTCGGATGACGGCATGACGACTATTATCTGATCGCCCCTCGGCAAGCCGTATCAGCCTAGTGAGCCTCAGCCTCATTTCTGTTCCCCCTTCATCATTTGCTCTGTGTGGCTTTGGTCTCCTGGTCAACACTGTATCACAGCAGGGTACCTGCGTCTCGACGTGCACGCCATTGTGCAGATTGCCGTCCCCAGGACTCCTCTATACCTTGCGTTGCCGTGTCGCCGCGATGTCTTCATGTGATCTGTTTCCTGGTGACTATGGGAAGGGAAAGCTGTGGCATGCATGCAAGACGAGCGCTTCGTGCGTGTGATGCGGTCACAACTTCACAGGAGGAGGGTCTTCACAAATGAGCGTGTGAATACAATCAGACCATTGCATGACCAAGGCGGACGAATGCATGTTCATCCTGGTGGGTAGAGGGATGGTGAGTTTGATCTGTCCAATTCTTTCGCGCCACACAGTCCAGGTCTTCATTTGTTGAAAGACGGTCAGCGAACTTTTCAATATCTGGTCGACTGCACCCTTACCCTTTTCCTTCTCTCTCCTTCGATGCTACTAGTGGAAACTGCACATCGCAGATGGCCGCTGCTCGGTTTCGTGCACGGCTGGAGCAAGTGCTGCTGACTTCCTGCGTCACAACTACCACTGCGACCACAAAGTCCAAAGCACCTGGCACGTCAACACTTACATTCCCCTTGCCTCGAGTTTTCCTTCGAGCCATCATTAGCAGTTCGGCCGACCACATCGCAAACTGCTCTATCATTTCATTGGTGCTGGTCTCCATTGCTCTTCAGAAATGGGGTTCTTCCTGTTCATCATTCCTCGCCTTTAGCATTCCTACCATACCGTTCTCCGGCAACATGCTCGACCCCGTTCCGGAGGGCGCTGTTTTCTTCTTGGAGTGGCCAATGTGGGCCCGGTTAGCCCTTGTAAGAACGAACACGCGACATATCGAGGGACTTGGCTGACTCTTGTGCCAGATCTTAGGTGGTTTGCTTGTGCGTACCCTCGACTCCGTTTGAAATCCTGCTGACTTCTTTAGACGATCATCCTTACTACCGCCTTCGTTGTCAAGTTGAGAAATTGGGCACGGGACAGATCTCTGGAAAGAAGAGCACTAGAAGAACAGGCCGAACGAGGGGAGATGACATTGGTCAACTGCTTGGACGAAGATATACCTTTTGGCATCCGCGCGTTGATCGAAGATCCGGAGGTCGAAGGTGTATGGAACGCTCAAACGGCAACTTCTTTACATTTCGATCCAGCCAGGCCCCCCTCTTCCTCGCAGTTGGCAATCGAACCTATTCGATATTCGTCGATCTCTTCCACCTCGATATGCGATTCCACGGATTTAGGACTGACGCCACCGGACGGTGAGAGAAGTCACAATTGCCGCTACCTTTCACTGACGCTCAATAGTCCTTACACCACTCACGGACACCACAGCAGTTGCCGATACGTCAGCTGAATCTTCCTCTTCGAAGAAAGGAAAGACTATTGTCATAAGCTACAATGGTCCATATCTCCGCGCGGAAGCTGCCGACGTCGTGCCAGGTCTGTCAATTTCCGAGTTTGTCCTCAACGCGGACTTTACTGATGATGGTTACACAGATGTTGTTTCTTCCATGATAAAGGACGAAACGAGTCCTCTATCCTCCAAATTGCAGCTTCGTCCCGTTACCAACCTACCGTCACCAGGAACGCGGAAATTTGTCATTGGTAACAGGCAGAGAAACACTCAGGGACACCAAAGGCCTGAAGTTCGGTCTGATCTCAACCCTCTCGAGCGCATGGAAGCCCATAGGCGCTTCCACGCTGCCGAAAGTGGACAACTCCTCCCCAGGAACCGCCGGCATACTGACATGGCTCTGACGCCAGCGTTGGCCTCGTCTCTTTCAGATAGCGAGGACAGTGATGACTCAGCGTCCCGTACTCTATCATGGCCGGCTCGAAACGGCAGTCTGAATCTCGGCAAGCAGTTTTCTCGCAGGGCGAAAAGGATGGAAGGACCGAGGCCGGTGCCCTTCCGCGCGTTCGTCGATGCCTTGCCCACCGCAAAACCCCCTCCTTCGGCATGGACGGATAAGACCCAGGCCAGAGTCGACGCAAAAATCCTCCCTTCCGCGAAAACCAGTGAAACCGCATCCAACACGTCTCGGCATACTCCGAGCTCTTCTAGAAGTTCGACATCTGCGACAGCAACGACGTCACCCACGGGTTCGCTCTCGATTGCGAATACTCGATCACGGAAAATCAATGATGGATTTGAAGTACTACCTGCCGGCACACTGGAGAAGGGACCAAAGGTCAAGGATTTTGGGACTCGACATGAGGACTTGGACATGAGGAAGAAGCCTAAGAAGCTGAGGAAACGGTCCCACTCGGATTCTGGAAGTCGTCGAAGTTCGACAGAAAGTGGGAGACGCAGTAGTGACACCTTCCGTTTGCCAATTTTCTGAGTTTGTGGGACTTTGCAAGCCGTGTTGGAATAGGGTTCTTATAGCTTTGGATCTGCATGGCTTTACGAGGCTATCCGTTCGTTGTTCAGTGGCAATCCCGTCCGCAGCGGACGTTCGTTGGCATACCTCGACTGTCTTGGGAAATGGTTGTCCGACATGGCTTAAGCACAACACACGAGGCTCCCATAGAGCAAGCACTGACCTATCATTGTTTGTCCACCGTAATGATAATAATGATCATGCCTTCACAGAGGTTCGCTGCCGCGAATGATCGTCTATCTAAAATTGCCCGCAAAAGCGTCCACCAATCTATTTGCGCCAGTTTTTACGGAGAGCTTCAAATCTTCTTATGTCCTCTACGCCAACACTCCGCCTCACTTCGGTTTTCGCATGCAGGAAGTCCTCTGTGATTATAGTGTTGGGGCCCCCCGAGGATTTGATACGGCGCACGGCGGCCAAGCCAGCCCTTCTCAACAAGGACTCCAGGTCTGCACCGCTGAACCCGTCACATTCTCTAGCAATAGTGGCCAATGATTCGTCAAACATCAAGCCGTTGACCTTCTTGCACAGGGTCCTCAGGATCTCCACCCGTCCCTCGGCGTCAGGCAGGCCCACGTACAAGAACATGTCCAATCTCCCCGGTCGGAGCATGGCCGGGTCGATGATGTCGGGCCGGTTCGTGGCTGCGATGAAGTAGATGCCCTCGCGGGAGTGGCCGACGCCGTCGAGCTCGGCGAGCAAGGTGTTGACGACGCGGGCCGAGGCCTCGGAGCCGCCGCCCACGCCGCCGTCGCGCGTGGGGACCAGGGCGTCGAGTTCGTCGAAGAAGACGATGACGGGGACGCTCGAGCGCGCGCGCGTGAAGACCTGGCGCACGGCCCGCTCCGACTCGCCGAGGTACTTGTTCAGGAGCTCGGGGCCCTTGACGCTGATGAAGTTGGCGTGGCTGGCGTTGGCGCAGGCCTTGGCCAGCAGCGTCTTCCCGCAACCCGGCGGACCCCAGAGGAGGGTACCCGACCAGGCGGGGAGGCCTAGGTTGGTGTAGACGGCCGGGTCGAGGATGGGGGAAATCACCGTCTCGTTCAGCTCCCTGATGTGGTCGTCCAGGGCGCCGATGGACGAGAATGTCGTCGAGGGGATCGTGGCGAACCCTTCTCTCAAGGCAGAGGGCTGGATCTTCGGGAGTGCGGTCAGAAAGTCCTCAAAAGTGACGAGGAGGGTTTCGTCGGCCTCGGACGATGATGATTGGCCTTTGATATACTTGACAAGTCGGCGGAGGGATTTGATGCTCTCTGCATCGGGATGCTTGTCGAGGTGGTTGTCACCGTCACCGTCGCCGTCCACGTCCATGATGTACTTGTCAGAGTTTGCCTGGAGGACGTCTAGATAGCGCTCCATGGCCGTCGCCGAAGCTGTCAGTACAAGGTCATTCAAGTCGGCGCCGACAAATCCCGGTGTGCGTTTGGCAAGGACGTCGAGGTCAACGTTATCGGCCATCTTCATGCCCTTGGTCAAAGCCTCGAGAATTCTTGCGCGATCAGGCTCGGTGGGTACTCTCATATTGATCTCTTTGTCGAAGCGGCCTCCTCTTCGCAGAGCTGCGTCGAGCGTATCCAATCGGTTCGTCGCGG